TTAGTAGTACAACATTCCTTGTCAAACCAGGAGTTAAAATATGACTTGCCAACATAATTAGGTTTGTGCATCATATGTGTATTACAAGCATATATAATATCAACTAAATTATTTGCAGCTTTACTTACATTTCCCTGCCTAATATATCAAATGATACTGAGTGGCCATATCAGAAAAGCCATCACAAACGAAGACATATACTGCCCTCAGTGGTGAAAGATGGGAATACACTTGTTTACATACAACAATAGAACATTTTTTGTTTAGCTGCGAGGTCTTGTCTAATGCGTGAAAGTTTTGACATGAACCTTTGCAGCAGAAAAAAATAATTTGACTTTGATCTTAAACTTCACATTTTTTTTTTAATTTTAAATTTTTTTTTTTATATCTTTTTTAGAGTGAAACATGGCACTTCATAAAAATTTACCATCCATCAAAAGTGTACAGCACATTATTAAACTGAAAATACCCTGAATACTTTTGTCTCTGCCAAAATTCTTGTAATGTTTTGATGCCACTAAATTTATTTGTCGTTTTTATGCATAGATCCCAGTACATAACTCATGGTTAAATGATCAAAAGTAGTTTACAGAATCAGAATTTCATGTGATAATTTTTATAAACCATGCCCTCTAGTGTCAAGAAAATGTGTTACTTTTGTTTTGAAACACAGCTGAGAATTCATTACATCCACTGCAATGAGTAAGGGAACATGCAAGATAGCATGCTGATAAATAAAATTACAACCTCATAGAAACCTCATAAAAATCTGGGAATAGAATTTATTTGTGTGACTCACCTTAAAAAGGTTCATAATTGGCATAGTGCCGTGTGAGAACCGATGAACAAACTGAGTTTCCAACAACCTTTTCATATAATGTAGCGACCAACACGCTGCTGCAAGACTGAAATCAAGAATGGGAAACATACTTTCTTAAAAATGCCAGGAATTTTTTTTATTTGAAACATTATTTATCATCTTTTAGAGAAGCTCCTTAGGCAAATACAATCTATATGTTATAAACATACATGGTAACTACATCACACAAAGCATGTACAAACACACAACTGTACACACTAATGTAAGCATTGTTTAATAAAACCAACCTTCTAACATACTGGTTTAGTTGGTGGGTTTTCAACATGCTTTATTAATGTAGCACTGATTGAAGCTCAGTAATTAACAATTTAGAATTACAGAGTTTTCGAGACAGTGCATCAAATCAAATGCAAAAGTATGGATTTGTGTCATTCACCAAAAATTACAAGATATTGCTACAGTATGTCTGATAACTTCTATCATTTCTACTAGTACATGTATAATCACTGAATAACTAGTTACAGAAAAACCACCCAAGGCTTTCCAGATATTGTAATAACTTCATGAATTTCATATCCTTGCAAAAAATTTGCATCTTGTCATGTGATCTCCATTACACAAAAAGTTACTTTTATCATACCAGTAGATAACGAGAATAGACATCACTTTAATGCTAGACTAAAGATACATTTCATAACAAGCATCCAGTAATTTGAAAACAATTTTCAATATTTTGGATAATTTTATAATTATTTTTTCACTTAACAAAAAACTAATTACAATCATGATAGAACATACATAGCTCATTGTATATTCACAATAAAATGAATTGAATGCAAATATAACTAAATTTTGACACATAAATTGCAGTGAATATGAGTTGTACTAAGGCCAGGAAATACAAAGCAAACAACATCAATCAGTCAGTACTGACCTAACTGTAATGGGCTTATCCAGAAGTAGATATGGAGGTGGAGGAAGGATGAATTAAAATCTTTAAAGTTTGATTGCTTCGTATATTTGTTATGTTTAAAATGTCTGTATGAGGGCAGTATACAGTGTACAGGGGAGTTCTGGTTTGTTTCTGTAGATTCAACACACCTAGTACTCAAAATTTATTATGACTTACTATACTACTTGTTGCCTTGGTTTGTCCACTGCACCTGCTCCATAGATGCAAGCAGGTCGTGTATACAGCAACAGATACACAAATAGTGGTCCAGCATATTCAGCTAGGAACACCTAGAATGAGAAATCATGCATTTAGACAAAATCACCAGCATTCTGGGTAATAGCTGGCATCCTGGGTAATAGTGAGCATTCTGGGTAGAAAAATTTTATTTTGTTTATAGGGATTGACAAAATTTTGTGAGTGAAGGAGTCTTTTGCAAAATTCCTTCCTTCCTTCTTTTAGACAAACATTTAAAAGTTCATAGTACCGGTACGTATATATAGTTATTGAAAGGCAGTCATCTTCGCACCAAGCATGCATGAGATATAGGTCTGATGTCCAAAAATGATGACCGGGATCAATGAGTACAATATAACAAGTCAATATTTAACAGTCAATATTTAGTGTGCATTGTGACCAGATCAAAACACACACAATTGCCACTGAGAGCGCTCATTGGATCGTGGGAAAATCAGTGTTTATCAACACAAATCATGTACTGTAAAATGAGCAATTTTCACTGGGTTTAAATTTCGCTGATTTACCATTTCAGGCATATTCATTGGGTTTTAAATTCACGGTTTTGTCATTTAGATAATGTGTTCTATGCTAAATTTTACATATTCACTGGGTTTTAATTTAACATTTTCCAGTCAGCGAAATAAGCAAAATTAAAACCCAGTGAATAATTAATCCTTTTACAGTAAATGCATAGCACGCTAAATTATATCAATGTGTACATGAGAAATTACAATGGAACTCGTATTGTTTGTCCAGAAAGTATGAACAACAAAGAAACATCAAAATTAAATGCCAGTGTAAATAAATGCTATTACCTGAGCAAATAAGACTACCAGGGTACTCATACTGCATCTCACAGTTTATCATATTGATGACACTAGAGGGCACCACTCTAATTCTCATATATACTGAAAATGTTAACACTAGTGGAACTTACTGTTTTCCAGCCAATCTGTGGACCTAAATCTTTGAAATATAGTTTGTCCCCATTTTTAATATTCAGAGACTGTAACGTGGCATCGTCTTTCAAACTGCGACCCTCTGGAGAAAAGATACAACCAGTGAAACAAATGAATAGTGTTAGAAATAAATAATAACTAGGTAATGATTAATTCTACGAATCTATTCACTTAGAATGCAACCATTTGTGGTCAAAGAATATGAAATACACATGAAACATAATAAGTAGACTGTACACAGTGACATACACATGGTAGAAACCAACCTTCCAACATTCTGGTTACATCGTAGATAATATTTGGTAATCGTAGCCTTAAGTAACTATTAAAAACAGCTATTCAAGATGACAGTTATACTGTGAATGCATCAACTACTTCCTGATTTATTCTGGGTTACAGTCAGAGAAGGCAGCTGCTGACACGAGTATGACAAAGATTATTTGGCAGTTGAATAAATAATATTTGTTATATACAAACTATGATTGGGAGCATTTGGTTTTCCAGCTTATTTAAAACAAATATTTCAGGATTAAAAATAATGAAACAATTTACTTACTTGGCTCACTTCTGAATGATTGTCTATCTGGATAGTATTTGGCATCTAAATATATAGAAAGTATATGATTTAATTCAGGAATTAATACATGCATATCTTCCCAGTATGATGTATCAACATCATATACATGTAGTTTAACAAATTAGAATACTGCACTACACAGGCAATACCAAAATATTAACTGGAGCTACAAGGTTTCTATATTGTCCAATAACTACAGTATTAAAACATGATTCTTTGTAGACAAAGTATGGGGTTTATGTCCGGCAGATATTGTAATAATAACAATTTAACTTTATTGCCTCTGTGTAAAAAGATTTACATAGGATAAGTACAGCAAAAAAGAGTTTTAACAAAATATATGTAAAAATATTGTACAAAAAAACAAAAAAAACGTAACTAGTATTTTGTGTAAATATAATTGGCAAGTTCTATAATTATGCCAGGATCTTTGCTTGAGAGTATATGTGTGAAGTGTATATTTTTATTGTTGGATGAAAGTAGTGTCATAATTTTTTGGGATGAAGTTTTCCCTGTGTGTGTGTTATTTTGGGCAATTCAATAGAAAATGTTCTTCATCTTCATGTATTATGGATGAATCACAGTAGAAATCACAATGTATACAGGGAATTAATAGAACACAATCACATATTAAGCCAACTTTACATGTATATGTAAATATATATGTGATATATAAAAAAAAAAAAGTGATGACTGCCACAGTAGGAATGTATTCAAGGATTGTTACAACACTGTTAATGGCAAGTATCTGCAGACGTTTAACAGAGAAAAACTATTGTGGTACTAAATATAAATATACACAGAATGTAGAATTGACAAGAATATGGTACAAAGTCTGGTATGTTGACAACAATATCATGTTTCTGACACAACACAACAATACAAATAAACAATTCTAGATTCTGCAATTTATTGTCGATTATTGTTAAAGAATGTGTTTTGTTTTACTGATTTTGAAACTGAAATGTCCCAATATATTATTGCCAATGGCCGCCATTTCCCAAAATAATTGACACTGGCTGTCAAATTGATGACACTGAGAGGTGCTTATACAATTATAACTCTGTTCTTTTGTTGTAAATTTTTACATATGGTGTGAAATATTAGAATGTTCATACCAAGGCCTAGGCATCTTTTAAAAATCAACAATGACCTTGTTTCGGGACTAAGATGCCTACCATTCGGTCAAAAATAATAGAATCCCGATATTACTTGAAATGCATGTGTATGAATTGTCATTATAGCAACTCGGTTTATGACCGGTCAAGGCATAACTGAGAAGATACTCTGGATGGACAAACTCACAAGTAAATGGAACTTGAATTACTAGTCCCACTTTGTTCCTATTGGTATTTTTTCAAAGCGATCTCGTATGAGAAAAGAAAAAAGTGGATTGTGGGTAAAAGAAATTAATTTCACGATATTGCAGAAAGCAATGACTTATTTAAATGTGTTTATTGAAGTTGATGTGGTTAGTATGATGGTGGATTACATTAGTTCAGTGGTGTTAAAGTTCTTTCTGGGGGTACGCTGATGGATACAAAATATTCATGTCTTCATTATCTATTATGACTGACACTCGTATGACAGGCATGACACAGAACAGAGGCAGTAAACTGCAGGTTTTTGTTTATTTGTGATGAATGAGATTCATCAATGTCAATGTCAGAAATACAGTCCTGGAACACATTCCTTAAAAAAGGCCAACTGTCAGCCAATCTGGGAAAAAATGTTGTGCAAGACTTTCAATAGATCATGAAGAAAAGTTGTGAATTTAAAACCTAATTTTTGTCAATGAAAAAAAAAGAGACTGAATTAGACTTGGCCTCCGGAGAAGGTATTTTGACAAATTTTTGTTTTCTTTCATTTTTACAGAATTTCGCAAATAACAAAAAATGGTGTGAAATGCACCTTTTAAACAGAAATAAATCTTTGTTGACCTTACTGCAGAATGACATACATTAACAAGAGTGTCATCAGTACAGCCTTGAAATTGTTGGCATCGGTTCAACAAAAACGATAATGAAACTCTCAACATTATTAGGACCCGTGTTTGAATTCAACAGATTCAATAATTTTTTTTATTAGATTCAAAAAGCTTTCTCTGAACATAGTACAAGAAAACAAGACAAAACAAATTGGAAATTGTACAGCAGATATTAAAAACATATTTTCTAATTATAAATCAAGCATATTAATGAATGAATTTATTATAAATACTAATTAATTTTCAGTGATTATAATACACAGAGTGCAGGGCTGCTCAGACAAGATTTTTTCCCTACTTTTATTTGCTAGTTGTTTTTTTTTTGTTTTTTTTTTCCTGTGTGTGTTTTTTTTCTCACTTTAATTGTTTCTTTGTCTTTATTCACATCTGTATTGCATTTTAGTCAAAATCCTAATAGGGATACGAACGCAATAAAGATAATTATTATAGCAACTAGTGGGGCATAAAAGTACTCTGGAATGTTACTTATGTTGAATACATAGAGACAAATATCCATTCAATCTACAACTCTAATACACTATCAATTAAATAAATATTAAAGTTAACATCACAAAAATAAAACATAGTTTTTCAAATAATTCAGATATTTTAGTATAAAAACAAATGCCTCATCTCATCTGGTGTAAATTATGTATATTGAATGTATACAACTCAAACATTAACATTAAATTACCTCAGGTACCATACTCCAAACATTCAAATTTTATTGGCGAGCAAAAGCTAACAATTAACAATAACTTATATTCTTTTCTTTTTTTTTTTAAATATTTTTTGTTGCGGTAAGTCGGTTGTTGTATTTTTTTTATTTTATCCATGTTTGGGATTACAAGACTGGGCTGTGCAAACGACAATGCCTTATTGTCACACGCAACGTAATATTACCGTAATTGGTATAGTACAGGTGTGATGGTTCAAATACCAAAATGACAACAGTAACAGAAAGACTTCCCTGGCGGCGATGATAACATGCGAACACGGAGCCAACAGATGAGGTTTCAACTGGTACTGGTATTATTATACTCTGCAAACATCAAGTACAATAACGCGGTAAAACTCCAATACTCCAATAACTAGATACTTAAACTCCAATACAATTCAACAAGATCTCCGATCTGAACTCAGTGCTGAACAATTCCCCTATATATACCCCCACTGTCTATAAATAGAACATTACATCAGCATACATAATGAGTCTGGAATTTACTACAAATTTCTAGATTGTCCCATTACCTTCTATTGCCTTCTACAGTGTTCTATTACCTATTCAACCAGTTTCTAAAAAAAATTTAGAATATCCCACCCAGACACAGTACGGTTCTAGAACATTCTCAGTGACACGGAAGCGGTAAACAAGTCGTATGCAACACTTATCCTTCCCATTAAATCTGTCGCATACTTGTTAATTAATATATTCAGACACCTGGGATGCATTCACTAATGTTCACGTAATAATTTTGAAAATTTCTGCCATATTTGTTACATCAGCGAGCCATCTCATAGCTTTGACAGCTAATGCTATGGCAACACTTGCAGTAAACAAACATTAGAAGCACTCTTGAATGTTTTCTTGAACAAACCCACTTTGTATATTCAATTTAAATTATACCAAATGATATGAAATACCTTCCATTACTTACTTCTTTGGTGGTATATTCTTTTGACGTCTGCAACTGTACTAGATGGGCTCAACTGAAACAATAAACATCAATTATGATACTACACAGCTATAATTATTAAATCACTCAAAATAATCAAATGTGTGTACAATATGGACAATTAGTGCATATTTGTGTAATCACCATTGCCAATACTGAACATAATGAGTTAAAAACACATTATATGATCACTGTGTGGATTTAATTGTTAACTATTTTCCATATTTCCCCACAAACTTTTCTATTGAAACGTCCCTTATAAGCGTATTATTTATAACTAAGGCATTAGAAAAAAGAAACTAGACATTGCCAAACCAATTATGCAAGTAATTTTCTTTGTATTGCACACCATGGCCACTACACTTTTATTTAAGAAAAAGTGATTCCTAGTTTGGTTTTCAAACAATTTACATTAGTTTAGCTTTATATCTCTTCTACAATCCATCCATGGTTTTTTTATATCTTGTTTGAAGCAAAATCACCTGAAAAAGTACAGTGACACTGGCTGAACAACTTTACTAGAGATTGCATTGAATCAATTTATAAGATGAGGCTATGCAAATGATGTGATATTCGATTGAGGAAGTCATGCTAATTGTTAGATGATCAAAAAATCGCAAGATAAATGTACATTTCTAGAAATACTGCAAAATAAGAGATTCTATGAACATTTTAGTGTATTTGATGTCCAGACACATTCTCAGCTGGTGTTGCTGGGAAGTTTTTACGGAGAAAAATATATTTGAGAAAGATTTTATGTTGTATGGCAGCACGGAAGTGCGCAGCTCAAGACATATATTTATGACTTGAAAGCTAAATTGTCAATTTGGTAAGAAAGCGCCAGTCGAGAGTATCAGGGCGCTGCACCCCTGTTCCCTGATTTAGAAAAATCCCTGAATATATATCAAAAGATAGTATATATGCTTATACTATATTTTAAATCCTTGTGACAACTATAGTAGACATGTATAGTACTTACTGCTGAAAGTGTTGTTAGAGTCTTTCCAGATCTTGCATGAACTACCGACACCTTCGAAGAAAAAAATTAGTATTATAGATCAGTTATTACATAATCAACATTTTGCTTTCATTTCATAGATAAAGAGAATATATATTACAATGCAATGAAAACAAAAACAGTTACTACGTTCACGTTTACAGAGGGATTTCAGCAGTTGTGTTCATGTTGCGATGATGTTTTTATTTATAATAAATGGCCTTCGACCTTCCATGTATTCGCAGACGTGTCAAGGAACTGCCATGAGCACCATGATTTCCACAGAAAATACCCATTTGATCTCTATTTTTCTGCACAAAAATATTTAGCTAAAATTGCTATATATCAACATTTGCGTAAATTATACGTATTCCAATGCGAGTATCAATTGTACGAGAATCAAACACGAATTATACGTTAATCGTACACAATATTCGAACTGTACACTGTCTTTTTTACTCGTCCTGTTGAAACATTTCTCAATGCCAAGGAGTACAATAACTTTCACAGAACATAAAGGTATATATATGTACATGTATATAGCAGGATAGCAGGCAGTGGTCTCAGGAAAACAGAATTTCAGAATCAGTGCAGACGTGTACGGTTGTACATGTGGACAGTCACTGGGTGTGAATTGTCACCATCAGATAAGAAATAATACATGTACAGTATATACACAAATTGTTAAAAATTAACATTTAATCACAATAAATAAATGTTGCCAGAATGTAGAATTTTAAAAATAATTGATCACTAATCAGGTTATTTTTAAGACTCCAACATATTAAACATTTCACCCACTCACAATGCTCAACACTTAATCACCCCGTGAGTTGACCCCCCCGCCCCTCGCCCAGCACAAAATGTGGCACCAGCACATTTGTATTCACTATTTGCAAAGTTGTTGCAAGCCGCTGTTTGAAGTTGTATTAGTCATCGCAATGTACAAACCCTTATAAATGAGCATTAATAATTGCTCCAATAATAACACGATTTCTGATTACCTCCATCGTGCTCAGTTGGGTATTTACAGCGGCCTCAGTCCAGATCAACCAGAAAACAACTCCACCGGCCACCAGTCAATCATCCGATTCGGGTCAAAGATCATAATGTGTGTGTTTGTGTTCCTTTTTCTCCAATGAGGGAATTACGTTCGTCAGTGTGACTTTTTTCTGATTGGACAAATGGTTTCACGGGAAGTGACGTAAATGCTTCTAGAATATTCCAGCACTTTCGATGAACTTCGAATTCTCGTTATTTCCCAGCTGTTGGTATATAAATACGGCTGTTTCGTACGTTGTTAGTCATTTTGTGCATCCAGAGAAGCAAAGAAAGTCTAGTGAGTGATATTACTGACGAACCACGACCACTTTCAACCGTGACATTTTCAGAAACGATTGGGCCTGAAATATTAAGAGAGCTGTTCCATTAGATACGATCACAACGATTTGCTGACTCGACTACGCCCAGGAATTCATTGCAGAATACTAACTATTAACTACGATTACCAAATATTATCTTCTATATAACTATTAACACTCGATGATGACAAAAGACTACTACAAAACGCTAGGTATATCTAAAGATGCCAGCGATGATGCCATCAAGAAGGCTTACCGTAAAATGGCGCTCAAGTTTCATCCTGACAAAAATAAGTCTCCGGGAGCAGAAGAGAAGTTCAAAGAAATCGCAGAAGCATATGAAGTACTAAGTGACAAGAAAAAGAGAGAAGTTTATGACCAGTATGGGGAGAATGGACTGAAGGGTGGTGTACCTGGAGCATCAAGTAACGAAAATTTCTCGTACACGTTCAGCGGCGATCCGTGGGCGACCTTCGAAACTTTTTTTGGCGGATCGAACCCGTTTGAAGAGATGTTCAGTGGAATGGGGTCGGGGATGGGCAGACAAGAGATGAGAATGGGCCCTGGAATGGGAGGACCGTTTGGAGTTAGTGGCTTTTCCACAGTGGGCGGAGAGCCCATGGACGTTAGCGACGGTATGGGATTCAATATGGGTAATTTTCACCAACCAGGCAGATCAAAGCAAGACCCAGCAGTTCACCACAACCTTAACGTGTCTCTTGAAGATATCTGTAAGGGGTGTACGAAAAAGATGAAAATTTCCAGAAAGGTGCTAAATGCAGACAACCGAACAACGAGAATGGAAGATAAATTGCTGGAAATTCAAGTCAAACCCGGTTGGAAAGAAGGAACAAAAATAACTTTCCCCAAAGAAGGGGACCAGCATCCGAACAGGATACCTGCGGACATTGTCTTCACAATAAAAGACAAACCTCACCAAATATTCAAGCGAGATGGTAGTAACTTACTGTATACAGCAAAAATAACTCTGAAAGAGGTAAATATAACAACTTATAATACTAGTTAGTAAAGATTTGATGACAGTTACAGTGATTTGTGTAAGGTGGTTGCACCTTGAGAATGTCTCCCATGGTGCATCTTACTCATTGAAGTTGCATTTGATTTATTGATGTAGCCATACCCATATGTCTCCTTAAATCATGTATATTGTTATCAAGAATTATTGATTTTTCGGAAAAAGTAAAATAAAGCACTAAAAATGTCCATTGCTACCATTATAAAAAAACTTGCCAACAGGAACCCCTTACTTAATATCTTTTTTACTTTCAATTGTAGGCTCTGTGTGGAACAACAATAAAGATCCCAGCCCTTGATGGTAGGAGTCTTCGGTTACCCGTACAAGAAGTCATTAAACCAAAAACGAAAAGAAGAATCTCTGGCGAAGGACTCCCCTTTCCTAAACAGCCAACTAGACGAGGTGATTTGATAGTGGACTTTGATATCAAATTTCCTGATCATCTCTCGGACAATGTCAAAGCGAGACTGTCGGAATGTTTACCCAATTGATTTATTTCACCACATGTTTTTGTCTTCGACAAATCTTAATTCAAAATCAAGAAAGTATTATTTTTTGCTGTGGGTATGAGAAATGAACTTTCACAGTTACTGATGCATAGCTATAAGAGTACTACATTGTTACATGCCAAACTGACTTGTTTCAGTATGCAAGTATTAGGAGACGAAATTTAAATGTTAATTACATTTTCATTCAGTGAATGTCAGAATGGGCATTTTTTATTTTCAAATTATTTTCATTTGTGACTCTCTGTACATACAGTTTCAAATTGTTGTATTTCAAAATCACTGTATTTGCTCTATCAGAAGTGTACTTGCATAAGCACCCTGTGCCATCATCTGGCATCAAAACTAGAGCCTATGCACTTGTCCCAGACAGGCATATTTCAGCTGGGACAGGTAAATGTACAAACTACCTGATGTCTAGAAAATTGCCTGGAGTATTTTTAAGAGCTTATAAAATGATTAAAGCCAGAAATCAAAATCTTTTTCAAATAACATGTCTTGCTCAGGACATCAATTTGGAACAGGCACTTTTATCCACCAACCATTGGACAGGCAACTTTAATTCCTGCATCATCCATAGGGTTATTAATATATATAGCTTATTGTTCATGCGCTTCTAATGGAGCACACACAGCATGAATTTTATATTCTCCCACATTTGAGGGAGCTTACTAGACTATGGATTGTTTATTTCAGTCGTTTTCTATAAGATGTAAACATTATTTTACTATCATTCCTGTGTGTATAAGTGGAAAAACTACTATGAATGCAGCATGAGTGATTAATGCATCCTGCTGCAGACTTGCATTGTAGCTACAAATTTTAGCAAATTAATAATTTTATTCATTTGTTAAAATAAAATTGTTATAAAGGTTACTTATGAACTTAGCAAAATTAAAACGATTTACAGTACATAAAATTATTGAGTAGCTTTATTTGTGTGCTGCAACTACTGTATTTGCTCTGTACGTTAGATGCGATTCTGTAATAAAAGTGCATCACAGCCTGAAAAACTTATTTCTGTTTATTTTGTATCTTATTTTTTGATTGGTTTTAATTATTTATACAACAAACACTGCAGTCACTTATCAATGTACAAATCATTCAACTGTAGGGCATTGTATGTCAAATCTTCTACTAGAAGGTAGTAGATTATTTACTGGGTTGAGTTGTAACCACATATTTTTTTTTTCATTCTATGGATCACTGTACTTTTATCTTAGCTGGTATATTTGTTCACGAATCCATGAACAATGTAACTTATTTTTATTGTTTTGAGATATTATATGCAAAACGTGGGGCAGGGGTGTGGATTTTGACGCTGAATTTTATTTTTTTGGATTAAACCTTTGAGTGAAACTTACTTCTAAAGGGATATAAATATTCTACTGTAAATGCATCATACATGTACATGCATGTACCATATAAGAAATGATCCTTCAAGGTACACTAGCCATTTAAATTATGTAGCAATACTGTTGCAGTCTTAGAAACACATACTGTAGAATACTTTATTTTAGCTGGAATTAAATTTCGCTGAGAGACTTTTTGAGTGTTTTCTATGAAAATTATTTTCACTGATTTTTGACAAAATTGCATATTTACTGGATTTTATTTTCACTGAATCATTCCTTCAGCGAAAGTAAGTGAAAATAGATTCCAAGTGAAAAGTATTTTAAAGTAATTTTGTCTTCATACACATGCTTTTTACTAGAGAAGCATTTACAGGTAATGTTATTTTACAAGTGCAATAATGTATTTAAGTGTACAGCAAATGTGCTTTTCCCAAAGAAGTTGAAATGATTGCTTCATGTCTGTGTGGATTCTTCTAGGACATGTATGCCAAGGGTTTGAACTTCAGAGGTATCAAATACCCAATAAGTTGCCTTGGTGTCCTTTGATATTCTCTACATATTTTTATATAATAAGGCAAGATACTTAGTGGGGGTAGGGGGATTTAGTTTGGGACTGGTGTTACTTTTTATGCTTATGTGCTTTAAAATTGCAAAGCCCATGGTTTCTGGATTGTCCGAGAATAATAGACTAGTATATTTTCAAGCCTTGATATTTGTTAACATTGGCAGTTTTTACTGAAAGAATAAAACTGTATGTAGAAAAAAAAGAAATTGAATTCCTTAATTTCTTTCATGTTGTACATTAGGCAAGGTACTCTGATATCTCATCAAGCATCCTCTTGGCTGGGATAGCTCTGCTGTAAGCAATACACATTTCAATTAAAAGAATTGAAGATATCACGAAATGAACAAATCTAAGAGAGGTCCATCTGTAGTACCTATACTGTATACTGGTAATATCAAAGCAATCAGACTTGCGGTTTTTAAGCAGTCAAAGATATCACTTTTTACCAAAAATTACGAAAATATTCATCAAATTATAGAATTGAAGATATGATCATGAAATGAACAAATCTAAGTGAGGTCTACCCGAGGTACATATACCGATACACCAAGTTTTAAAGCAATCAGGCTTGTAGTTTTTAAGAAGTCCAAAATGTAAAAAGTTGACACAGACGACAGACAATAACTCATATAAGCTTCGCTCGAAAAAGTCATCAGCAGAGCTAAAAATGGGTTTGTAGGTCAATCTAAGTTAATGCACTTCCATTTGTTTGACCTGTATTCATTTCTGCGATGTACC